TCCAGCTCTGTATACTCTGCTGCAAGACTAGGACGGGGCGGGAGCAAGAATAATGGAGTTTTCTGGAGCATGAGATGACGTCCCCCGAAAATTCCCAGACCCCACCTCTACACTGTTTGGGTATTGCCTTTACTGTTTGTTGGCTCCTCTGTTAGTCCCTTTCTCACAAGGAAAACCCTACCCAGCCTTTGCATCTTCCCCATGATGTAAAAGCCCCACATTGCTTTTCTATGAGCCTAAGAATTATTCTAGAGCCCCCTGGCAAGTTTGGTAATATTCCAGAAGACGATACACATAAGCTTTTTAAGAGGACACAAGAAACTGCTTCATCATGATCAAATGTGAAAGACCTCTTGGGAGGGCAGGGATTTTTCGTCTGTTGGCCTCACTCCGCATCCCCATTACCGGCAAACAAGGCAGGGCACCTCCTTGGTGTTGCAATAACGGTTTGTTGCATCAGGAAATAAATTGTAGCGGACATTTGCAGTTGTGGCCTGCTTGCATTCATTCTTTTTGTACTGCTAAGAGCACCTGGATGTTTCTTTGGAGACATTTCCCATTATCGCTGCACCTGGCTCAGGTAGAGCTGGAACATGTCCAGCTCCAGGGGTGGTACATGTCCCAAGCCTGAGCCATGGTCCACAGCGATTGGTTCACGTGGGCACAGGACCTAATGAGAGTCAATCTGGAGGATTTTTAAAAAAGGTTTCTTTTGTTTTTGAGAGACAGAGAGAGACGGAGTGTGAGCGGCGGAGGGGGAGAGTGAGAGGGAGACACAGAATCCGAAGCAGGCTCCAGGCTCTGAGCTGTCAGCACAGAGCCCAACACGGGGCCTGAACCCATGAATCATGAGATTATGACCTGAGCTGAACTCCAATGCTCAACTGACTGAGCCACCCTGGCGCCCCAATCTTGAGGATTTTATGGGAAGTCTGGGGATAGGAAGTTTTTTGTTTGTTTGTTTGTTTGTTTTCCCCCACTGTAAATGCTACGTCTAAGGATATTGTGAGCCAGGAGCTTTCAGCCTCCACTTAACAGAGAGGTCCTGCCTGGGAGTTCACCCAATACAGAGAAAACAGAGCCAAGAGATAGAGACAGAGACAGAGAGACTGACTTCTGTGAACATTGTTTAACCCTTGGATCTAATTATACCTGGACCCCAAAGGCTCCTGGAGGTTTTAAACATAGGACCCAATAAATTCCCTCAAGCCAACTGAGTTTCTGGAAATCTAATATTAAAATAAAATAAAGAACCAAATTAAGGAATGTCAATGATTTAACCATCCTGGTAACTATGGTTTCTATTAGGGTGTGTCCATACTTCACTAATACTAGTCAAGAATCAGGCTGCTGTTTTTAAGAGACCCCAAAATACAGCAACTGAAACAAGAGACTCTTTTCTCCCATGCAGAAGCCTGAAGGGCAGTACAGGGCTGAAACTGTGGCTTCACTAGAATTCTGCCTTGTTTCTTTGTCACCCTCAAAATGTAGCTTCGTGCTCTCATGGCCCAAGGCAGCCGTTTGAGCTCCCTGTCATCATATGTCTTCCCAACAGTGGGAATAGAAAAGGAGGAAGAGGAAGGCATGTAGGTCCCTTTAAAGGCACTATCAGCTTGGAGAAACAGGTGGGTGGATCAGAAGCAAAGTGGGAAAATAATCCCTCCTCCCTCCCTCTCTCCCTCCCTCCCTCCCTCCCCCTTTCCATCCATCCTCCCTCCCTTCCTCCCTTCCTTCCATTTCCTTCCTTCCTTCCTCCCTTCCTTCCTTCCGTTTCCTTCCTTCCTTCCTTCCTTGGTTCATTTCATTCGTTCATTTCCATTCGGTTCATTTCATTTCATTTATTCATCATTCATTCATTCATTACATTCCGGTTCATTCATCATCATCATTCATTCCATTTCATCATTTCATTCATTCTTCTGAACCATTCATTCATTCCATTTCATTCATTTCATTCATTCATTCATTCATCATTCATTCCGTTTCATTCCATCATCTATCTCTTCATCATTATGGTTCATTCCTCCATCATCATTCATTCATTCCATTTTCATCCTTCATTCATTCATTCATTCTCAGACAAATTTCTTTCGATACCATCATTCATTCATTCATTTGTTCCATTCATTATTCATTCATTCCATTCTCCAAGTTTCATTCATTAAATTTTAATTTTCCTCATTCGACTTTCCATTCCATTCATCATTCATTTCATTCTCCCGGTTTCCATTCATTCCATTTCACATTTTCTACTGGAACCAAATTCGTACCATTCCATTCATCATTCATTCCATGGTTTTCATTTCATTCATCATCCTCTATCACTTCCATTCATTCCGGTTTCATCTTCCTCCTCCACTCCTTCCTTCCTTCCTTCCAATTCCTTCCTTCCTTCCTTCCTTCCGTTTCCTTCCTTCCTTCCTTCCTTCCTTCACATCGGCTTCCTTATTTTTCCTTCCGTTTCATTCCTTCCTTCGGCTATCTCGTACAACCATCCTCCTACGTTCATTTCTATTCATTTAGATCCATTCCTTCAGCTTCCTTCCTTCAGCCTTCCTTCCTTCATTCAGCTTCATTTCCACATATTTTCCTTCTTCCATTCATTGAGCACTATGTACCAGGTACTGTGTTGCGTGCTGAGCATACATACAACATTGAAAAAGACAGACTCAGTTCTCACATTCCTGGAGCTTATACTCCTGCGTAGATTATTAACAATGACAGGGGTCCAATCTTAGGTGGTGGCAGCTCTCAGAGTCATCTGGGACTTCATTTTTACAAGATAGAGAAAGCCCAGTCACCCCCAACTTCCAAAAGACCAGAGACTTTCAATCTTCTCATCCCCGTGCTTCCACACCTGGACCAGATCTACTACCTTTATTTCCATTTTGAATGACATTACTCACATGCACGTATTATTTTTCTACACCATATGGATGGTATAAACCGTTGATCTTTAATATGCCCTTGAAGACTTTGTCTCTTTTCGAAGGAATTTCAGGCAATTGCAGAGAGATGAAAAAGGTACTTCTTTCTCTATAAAATGGAGACATTAACGTTACCTGCTTTATAGATGTGTTGTGAAAATTAAATGAGATAATACATGTAAACTTCTTAGCATAGTAAATATGTTAACTATTTCTAAAATCATGTTTATTATATTTTCTGATCAGAGAACATTCTTTCTCTTTCTAATTCTATTTGGGGCAGCTGGTAGAGAAAGTGTCTGGATGAGTTTTTTGTTTTTGTTTTTGTTTTGCAATGCGTATATATTGCTTTTATATGCAGCAATTTCATATTCAAACAGAACGACTTCTTATGTTTGTCAAATGAGATACGCTTATTATAAAGTATTTCGACAGTGGAGAAATGTACATTTTTGATAATAACTCCAAATGATTATCATTAGGTGAATGGTATTTCACAACTTTCTAAATAGATGCATCAATTACAATGTTTTCAGCATCAAAAAACATATAAAATTCAGGGGCACCTGGGTGGCTCCGTCAATTAAGCATCCAACTCCTGATTTCGGCTCAGGTCATGATCTCAAGGTTCATGAGTTCCAGCCCCTCATCAGGCTCTGTGTGCTGACAGTGCAGAGACTGCTTGGGATTCTCTCTGTCTCCCTCGCTCTCTGCCCCTTCTCCACTTGTGTTTGCTTTTGCTCTCAAAATAAATAAATAAATTATATATGTATATATGTGTGTGTGTGTGTGTGTGTGTGTGTGTGTATATATATACACACATACATACACATATATATACCTGATTCTAACTGGTTTAGCACATATGAAAATGTATGGATTTCCATCATTGACATCCAGAGATAAGGTGGCCTGACATTGTTTCATTTCCCCGTGACTCTACCCTCTGTGGGTGGGGACATAAATCTCAGGATGGCTTTACTTGTGATAAAAATGGCTGTAGCAGCACCAGGCTTCGCACCTTACCACCACCAAGTCCAGAGGGAGACAGTGTTCTGTGGTGAGTGTTCTCTTAAAGCTAGGAAGCCTCGGGAAGCCTGGGTGGCTCAGTCGGTTGAGCGTCCGACTTCGGCTCAGGTCATGATCTCGCGGTCCGTGAGTTCGAGCCCCGCGTCGGGCTCTGTGCTGACAGCTCAGAGCCTGGAGCCTGTTCAGATTCTGTGTCTCCCTCTCTCTCTGCCCCTTCCCCACTCATGATCTGTCTCTCAAAAATAAATAAACATTAAAATAATAGTAATTATAAAAAAAGTTAGGAAGCCAAGTTCCGTTGGCCTTAGCTGGGGGACAAGCCCATGCCAGGTTCTGTGCCTGGTTGCCTTTGCCCCGAGTTCTGTGGGATAAGGAGAAATGGGATTATCCTGGGACCAACCACCCATCCCAGAGCTGGAGCCGGAGCTGGGTTCCGAGTCCCCTGGAGAACACAGGTTGCCCTGCAAGGAAATGGATGTCTGAATGAAGATCCAGGCACTGTGTGGAAGGAAGAGGACTAGAAAGGGGAATGTAGGCTAAAGAGAGATTGAAAGGGAAGCAGACATAGGTAGAAATATTTTTTATAAAAATAGGTATCCTACACGCCGTTTTAAAATGCCATAATAGATTTAATATCACTCGAATTTAGCATGAGAAAAATAAAGCTAAAGTAAATCTCAAGGAATTGCTGACCTTTAGTTAAATGCATCTTTACCACAAGAGATATTATTTCCTTAACAGTCCCACCTGGGGAAAGAAGGTTAAGAAAAGCAATGAAAAATGTTAAGAGCTTGGAGTCATTTTTTAGCTGCAGGTTTCAATTTCAGGCAGTATTGAATGACTCACGGATATGAAAGATGAGTCAATCCTGGGACATGTGCTTCCTCCCATCTCGTTGCTGCTCACCTCCCCATGTTGGCTCTATTACTATTTTTACAATATTCTGTTGTGGAAATACTACTCCTATAATCGCTTACTATCATTGGTTCTACGTTCAAAAGAATTGCATGTTCATGATGACTCCTTTTCACCCCAGTCTGTCCTTCCCCAAACACTTTGACTCATCTCTAAATTGCCTGGGCTTCATGACCGTGAATATGTTTTTCAAAGAAGACCCACGGGTACGTATTCTCTGAGTTCCTTCATGTGTCAGGATATTTGTCTCTGGCCTTCGTTCTGGAACTTTTCTTGGATGGGTGGAATTGTCTTGAGTCACACTTTTCTTGGCAATTCTAGCTGATGCTTCATTATATTCTGGCATGGAATATAGATTAACCAGATAGAGCCCACTCTAATTGACTTCCCTTACTTTTTATGTCAGCATGCCACGAGACTTTTCTTTTTCTTAAGCCCTTGAAGTTCAGCAAGTGAAAAAGGCTATGTCTCAGTGTTGACCATTCAGTATCTGTCTTCCTGGGTCTTGGCGTGCTCTTTCAATCTGCAGATTCATTTTTTCATTTGTCAGAGCAATTTGCTTGTTTCATGTCTTTGTATATTTAGTCTGTCCTATTTGTGGCTTCTCTACTTGAGGAACAATAAGGCTCAAATTGCCTATGCCTTTCACATGCATTCACTATGTTTATCTCAAGGGTTTTTTTTTTTTTTTTTT